CCACCTCCTACCTCTGTCTCCAGACATGTAGGATCCACAGACGAGACTATGTCGAAGGCCAGAGTCTTGTCTTGAGATACAGCTACCCGTTTTATACGGGGAATTTTTGGCTGAGTCTATGGGCTTGGATACCCCACATTGTATTCGGCCCTGTGCCACATCTGATTGCGTGGGGCGGTTAGTAAATAGACTAGCTAGTATCTTCTGTGTACGACTCAGACTTACGTGAGAACTACCGACCTTATTGTTGGCATTTTTTTTCTTTTTACAAAGTATTCCTGGTATTATATTCTGTTTTTACACAAGTTTGGGTGTTAACTATTTGCCCATACCTGGAACCCTAACAGGTGCTACAACCCCTGGTCAGAATGAACCTGGGAACACCAGCAATTAGAAAGTCGTTCAAGGCTCCTCATAACCACCTGATCAGAGACCATGCTGTTGGTCGTAGTTTATCGTCTTACCTAGGAAGCGGATGTACGTTATCATCATACCCAGGACGCGGATGTAGTTTATCGTCTTACCCAGGACGCGGATATAGTTTATCGTCTTACCCAAGATGCTGATGTAGTTTATCGTCCTACCCAGGACGCGGATGTAGTTTATCGTCGTACATGGAACGATGAAGACAGATGTACTGTCCAAATATTGTTAAACATGGTATATTTTCCTTTTCTTTTCTTAAATCTCACTATTCTATTACTATTTTAGTGACTTTTTACCCTGCTGTTGTTTTATAGATGTTGTGTGATAACCAATGACCAAGCGAATGATATGAACTTTATTGTTTCCACTTAATTAAACACAAGAAAACTATAACAAAATATTTAAATTCTCTTCGCATCATATGGTCTGTACTGGTTATTGAGTGTCTTTCTCTCTCCGATCCCAAAACCCTAACTAGAAAAGGGGTAGTTTTAGTTTTTAAGTGACTCATTTTTCTATATTCATCTTCAGGATTTTGTATTTGCTTGTTTTTTCTGGGGTTTTTGGGGTTTTTTTTTTAAGATATTGATATTTTTTTTCACTTTTCGCTCACGTCAATTTTTTTTCTGTCTTTGATAAAAATTGTGTGTTTGTCTTCTATCGTTCGATCTGTTTGTATAAAAATCCCACAGGATGGTATCATCTGTTCGCTCAACTACAGATGCAAGATGATTTTTAGACCAGTTCAACGATGTTTTTATCCCTATGTGATCACAGATATTCTAGTACAGATATTATTATATTCTGTGGTCACCTTTGTTGGTACTCATTTTGAGTGAGTATTGAGAAATCTAAGATTAGATAATCAATATTTTCATTTTATTAGGCACAGCATCTACATTTTTGGTCTGTATTATTATACAGGTTGTTTCAAAAAATTTGATATCATTTCGCAAATGACTTCAAATTTTAATAGCCACTTTATGTTTAATTTTTGTTTTATGTTTTTATGTCTTTATGTTTTTGTGTTTTTCTTATTTGTATTTTTATGTTCTTTAATCTTTAATCTTTTTCATTACAGGTATAAAAATGCCGTGTCTCAGGCGGTGCGCATATTGAACATTTGTGAAATCGTTCACACAATCCACATGCTTTTGAATTTCTCATTCAGATTTGGAAGAATAAATCTTATGATCTTCAACATTAATACTTTTTAATTTCATTTGCCTTAATCATGTAATTTCTGTGATATTTACATCTCAAAGGATATCAAATTTTTTGAAACACCCTGTATAATATCTACACTGTGTGTTTCTTCTATTAAGTAAGATATATTATTATTATTATTATTATTATTTCCTTTGATTTCTGTTCTATCCAGATCAAACTTATCAAAGGTCTAACCATATTTTTTTTAAATTTCCACAAGGAACTTTTTGATATCTTGCTGAGTTTCTTTCTTTATCAGACCCAAAGCTCCAACCACAACAGGAACAGCTTTTCAGTGTCATATTTTTTTTTGTACTTCTTTCTCCGGTTCTTTTTCTTTGTTTTCTTTAACAAAAATCTTCGGGGAGAATTTTTGGTCACTTTGTACGCTCAAGTCAATCAATGTGCAAACTTTTTTTTTTCTTTTCTTTCTGGGTGGTTCTCTTCTATTGTTCGATCAATGTTGATAGAAAAATCCTACAGGATATTATTATCTGCCCACTCAACTACAGATGCAGGACGATGTTTATACCAGTTTGCAGCTGTTTTTATATCTTAACGATTATAGTTCTTCCAATATAGATCTTGACCTACGCTGTTATGGCAGTTTCTGTACTCACTGGATGAAAGAATCAATCAATGGATAAGGTGATCAATAGTGTCAATTTATTTATCACAGGAACTACATTTGGTCTCCGTAATATTATTCAAGATATTAGCTTGCCAGTTGCGTGTAAGCAGGCTCTGGTCTTGTGCAGCAAGTATAAACCCTTCACTCTCCTTCTTGAGATCTGTGGCTTGTGGACAGCGAATCGATCTAGATAAGCCTTTTTCCTTCGAAGAAAAAAAATGGTTTATGGATACAGTTTTCATCGCTTTTTTTTTCTTTTTTCTGATTTTGTGGCAGTTATATCTACGCAAGCGCTATTTTCATGACTTAACACGACACGCTTAATTGGTATAGTGATTTTCCAAACGTAGCTTAGATGTTGTACAAGGCCGAAAGTCGTATATGTTCTAGCAAACAAACTTGCTAATCATTATACCGTCATGTAATTGTTAGAAGTATTTTTTTAAATTGCTTATAGAGGTGTTTCACCAAGGAACTTTTTTTAATTTCTTGTTGAGTTTCTTTCTTTATCAGACCCAAAGCTCCAACCACAACAGGAACAGTTTTTCAGTATCACGTTTCTTTTCTACTTCTTTCTCCGGTTCTTTTTCTTTTTTCTTTAACAAAAATCTTCGGGGAGAATTTTTGGCCACTTCAATCAGACTTTCTTGTTTCTGTCTTTGATAATAATGTTTTGGTGATTCTCCTATATTGTTCGATCTCTGTTGATAGAAAAATTCCACATGATGGTAATATTTGATCGTTCATCTATAGATGCATGACGATTGTTTCTGCCAGTACAACGGTGCTTTTATGCCTGTGTCACAGATCTTCCAATGCAGATATTTTGTTATATTCTTTGGTGACCTAAGTCTTTTGAAAGTATTTTACATATTTATAAGACTGCCTGTCTTCAAGGCTTTGCAATTTACTCACATATATATATATATATATATATATATATATATATATATATATATAAATATATTTCATGAATATATAAAAATCGTCAGGCCACATATGTGGCGTGACGATTGCATATGACGATGAAACAGACTGTCGCTCTCTAAGTGTTGACTTCTATGATCACTTTTATATTCACACACGCTCTATCTCTGATATTGAGCACTTTATCCCATAAATATAGCACACCTTAAGACTATATTTCTTTTTATATATATATATATATATATATATATATATATATATATATATATATATATATATATAAATAAAGACAGAACAGTAAGATATATAATCCGGTGTTCTTATTGATATTTTTATTTTACAAAACAATGCTCAATGTAAATTTACAGAGCATAAATTTTTATAAATAAACTGATTTAAAATACGGATTCTTCGCTACACATTTATAACCATGTTTCAAAAACTGAAGCTAAAAACTTCAAACTTAATTATATAATTAAATTAAAAGCATTAGTTCTGTTTCATCTTCAAGCCAATTTTGGAATACAAATTATTACGCACAATTGACATTATTACACACAATGCAAATTATTACCCACAATACACATTATTACGTCCAATGCACATTATTACACACAATGCAAATTATTACCCACAATGCAAATTATTACCCACAATACAGATTTTGTTACCGGTGTCATATTTTCTGTCCTCTCTAAAAAAAAATTCCCAGGATATTAAATTTTCCAGCTTGTTTGCTTATGACATTTTCAATTCGTAGGTCGTAGACGGATGCTCTAGTAATCACTCCGCCTACTCGTCAGGAGATGTCAACAAATGACTATTTATTTATTTTGATAGCAACGATACATTTTGTATTTTTACAATTGATGATTTGTCTATTCTTCCAAAATATACATTTTGCATATATAGATATACATTTTGCATATGTAGATATATATTTTGCATATGTAGATATATATTTTGCATATGTAGATATACATTTTGCATATGTAGATATATATTCATGCATTTGTATGTGCTTTTTCGCGCGTAGTCTTAAGGCCAATTCACGGTGATACACAGGTAGTCGCTAAGCAAAGTCGAGCCTAGTCAGTACTTGGAAGTGTGACCACTTCCGAATATCAGATGTGCGCTTGGATGTGTGGGTGGTGAAATTCTTGACAGCACAAGACTTGAACTCGGAGAGGCCAGTTCCAGTTTCAGTTGCGTTCTTTATATTCACTTGAGCGCAAATATATTTTGTCTGAATCCACCTCTTCTCTTTTCAACTATTCTAACAATTTAAATATATCTTCTAGTTTTAAATTTCCTGCAACAGTTTGATAAGGCGACAAAAACAAATCAATTTTTCGCTCGTGATTGTGTCTGTGTGTCGCCAACACATGAAAAAGTCCCAATTATTTGGTCATTTCGATTATTATTTTAAATGTTGTTGGAAAAAATATTTAAGTTATCAGATTATGTTTTGCCAACTTTCTCCTCTCAATCTATTGATTTTTTCTGGATTAAACGACCTTGCGACTGTTTATTGTTTTGGGAATTTTTTTTTTTTTTTGTCTCTAATATTCTGAATTCCTTCGTCTCTTCCGCATCTCTCCAAGGCTCATATTTCATCTGTCAAACAGTCGAGTTTTTAGCAAAAAATAAGAAAAATAAAATGAAACAATTTAAAAATATATCAGCTTCCAGAAAGGAAAGGAAAGGAAAGGAAAACAACTTGTTTGAAATAATAATTCTTTTTTAATTTTTCATGACATTGAACAAGAAGTGTATTTCGAAATTTGGGATAGTATTTGTAATGGTAATGGTCTCTCTCTCTCTCTCTGTCGCTTTCCCTCCCAATCCCCTATCCCTATTTCTCTTTCATGTTCTCCTCTCCCTATCTATCTATCTCAGTATATGTCTATATTTCTGAGATGAGGCATTATATACATCATTTATATTATTCGGACTATTGTCCTCCTCTTTGTAGCCATATTTATTACAATGTTTCGACCATTATACGTTTCTTCAGGTGGTTGGAATGTCGAACTTAACCCTTTATTTCGCTTTAGTTCCAGTTATCAATTTCCCTCTGAAGGTTCTCCACTGCCTTAACCAGATATTGAACTCATACTTTTTGGGTCTTGTCACTGGATTTAACCAACGCCTTTATCCACTGTGCCATGTGTCCTCAAGAACAGTCTACCCCAGTGAGCGAAATAAAGGGTTCAGTTCAACATTCCAACATCAGTGTGTGAATTTCTGGGTATTATAAACCTAATGTCTTCAGCAACCATTTTTACCAGTGTTCGTATTGCAATTTTTTTTTTGCTGTTATCATTGCATGTTTTTGCAGCTTTTGTTGTTACTATCGCTTTTTCTCTAACACTCCCATATTGTATTCATTTCTATGCTTGGTTGGCTCAGGAGATTTTTGTGGCCAAGCATATATGCTGATTACTTAAGCTTACGAATTTTCCAATGGGGTTCCTTGTCTATGATCACAACCTGATCCCACAGAGGGCGATGATCTTCCTTTTCTCTCCATATGTGGTCAGCCACGCCTGATTTTTCCACTTCCCTTCGTATTACAGCTTTCTGGTGTTCTTGAAGCCTTACCTTAAGGGGCGGCCTGTCCCACCTTTATATTTCTTTCCGCACCTGCACGGGATAGCTTACACACAGTCTTTAGTCTTGTTCTCTTCTATGGGGGTCTTACACGGGAGAGATATCTGCGAAGTGTCGTCATGCTTTTGAAGGTTATCCTGATGTTATATAGGACCACATATCCTTTGTATTTTCTCTGATAACCCCTTCACAAAAGGAAGGCAGACTGTTTTCTGAGTTTTGTTGTCCTTCTCTTGTACCAGCCTATCCCAGTTTTCTGGGGCTGCTGCCATGTACACGGGGTAGTTGTTACGTTGTAGGGTACCACTTGTACTGACCAATTCTTTATCTAATGTCTCTGGGTAGCCACTTATGACTTTTGCTCGGTGTTGTAAGCTGCGTAAAGAAAGGGATCGTCCGCTGCTTACAACACCGAGCATACAATCTCACTTGCGGTAGACTGATCATGTCTTGAGAATGTCTGATGAAATGACACCCAAAATCCTAATGTACAGCCAATTAGATCAGGGCGACTTGGCTTAGATAAAAAGATGAGCTGAAGAGAAGTCAATATACCTCATAACACCGTCGTGCGCTTAATCCTTGGAGCGGGTAGAGTGGAGATCAACATGTTTTAGTGAACTCGGCGATTTTCAAGCTGATAGTGAATCGTCTTCAAGAAGCAGAGCAAGATCTAAAAGGTTAGTCAATCTAACAGGGATCTCCTTCCACAATATTCACTCTTGCTCCACATGCGGCATCCTTTGCAAATCATTTGCTGATCTCAAGTGACACTTAAGGTTATCGCTCAAAATTTAATAGCTGAGTCAATTAAGTTGTCAGCTCCTCATGCGTCGAAACCGACGGGAAAATCCATTATATATTTAATAAACAATGAAATACAAAATTAAATCTTATGAGGAATAGCTTATTTCGGCTGACGAAGATATCGGTCGTCTGTCTTATCAACTCCGGTGTGGGCGGAATTCGTATCTATACAGTGAAAAAGGTGCGGGAAATAGAATTTAACGGTGAAAGCTAAAACAAAAACAAGCTGTCGAAAACTAATTCAGAATTTATGCATTGTCAATGTTTCATTCAGTCGAAAGGCAACAGAGTGGAAAGTGGAAGTATTTCTCTAAAAGGGAAGAAGTTTTTTTTTCTAAAGTTAAATCCGAACATTAAGCTTATGATATTGATTTGTTGTTATATGAAGAACGAAATATTAATTTAAAAAGATAAGAGGAATAAAAAAGGGGTTTAAAAATAACTTTAAAATATAGCGATGAAAGGATGTAAGGGACTAATGAAAAGAGATGTGTGGAGATATTAAACTAGGGGAAATTTTATGCATTATAATTAACATAATGTAAAGAGGTTATAGAGGGGGGAAAGTAAAATATAGAAGATTAGAATTAGTTATAATGACGAGAGAGGGGAGTGAATATTATGGAAACATTCTAACTAATTGAGTTAAACCTATATTATGGAAATTTGTATTTGTTTTTAGGTCGACATTTTAGAACTAATTCATTTTTGTGTATCAATTTTAATATTTTATATTACTGGGATCTACTAGGATTATAGACCAAACAACTGGTTCCTTATTTTTCCTCTCCTTCTCTAACTTCATTAAGTAGCCACCTCTCTCATATTCCCTTTCTATCTCCATCTCTCTCTCACTAAATGTTTGCCTCCTTTCTTTTTCAACGAGATTACTCAACTTTTTTCTCAATCGGAACGTTATTTTGTAACTCGTTCTTGTTTCTTTCTCTTCAGTCACATATGTAACCGTCTTCCTATAAAACTCGTATATCTATCTATCTATCTATCTATCTATCTATCTATCTATCTATCTATCTATCAGACTGTTCATATCTATCTATGTATCTATCTATCAGACTGTTCATATCTATCTATGTATCTATTTCTTTCTATCTATCTATCTATCTATATATATATATATATATATATATATATATACATATATATATATATATATATATATATATATATATATATATATATATATATATATATATATATATATGCCTAGTTGTCTTTATCTATCAATGGCTCGTTGTCATTATCTATCTATCTATCTGCCTATGCCTCGTCATTATTATCTATCTATCTATCTATCTATCTATCTATCTATGACTCGTTGTCATTATCTATCTATATCTCTCTCTCTCTCTCTCTCTCTCTCTCTCTATATATATATATATATATATATATATATATATATAGAGAGAGAGAGAGATGTGCCTAGTTGTCATTATCTATCTATCTATTTGCTAAAAAAATTAGCAGATATAATATCTGTAATTTATTCAATTAGACATGCCTATATATATATATATATATATATATGCACACACACACACACACACACACACACACACACACACATATATATATATATATATATATATATATATATATATATATATATATATGTATAAAACAAATAGAATACGTATATCAATGTAACATGATATTAATTATTAAAGCTTCGTCGGAGATTGGGATAAAATAGACAAAAACATAGAACTTTGGTATTTCCACATGGGGAACATCACGTGATCTAAAAATGACATCTACCAACACAAGACAGATTTGCGTTTCGATAAACGATCAAAGTCCTTCGTATTGCATAGGGTCGATAATGAACGCAAATTTGATTTCACTAATGCCACCCTACTTAATGAAGATCATACTTTGTTAAGGAGAAATTCCTTTTAAACCTTAATATAGTCAGTAATCCCAACTATAAACACACGTCTAAAACATTACATCGTCACTCTTCTTTGAAGTCATTCTTAAAGTATCTAATATATATCTCTCTAATACAAAGAGTACTTTTTTAAGCGTTTCACCCCAAGCAAGGGGTGAAGCCAGTAGCACGCAAGGGGTTACAGAGGATTTGGAGCGAGAGCAAATAAGAACGATAGAGGAAAGGATGAAGAGAATGATAGGGGATAGATCAAGACATCTTGAGACGTCGATTGACATTACATTTGAATAGTTAGAGATTATAGTTATCAGGGAAACAAGAAAAAAGGAGGGAGTTCCACAGGGGAGAAGTGCGAGTCATGAAGCCATTAGAGTAAAAGTGATAGCTATATTTAATAGTTTCGACAGTGAAACGGTGAGAGCGAGATGCCAACCTAGTAGAACGCTTAAATTCATGAAGTCTGGGAACCAGCGAAAGCAGCTCAGCGGAGCAGTTACCGTGAAATTATTTGTAAAAAAGACAGAGGGAATTGACGGCACATTTGTGAGAGAGCGACTGCAGACGAAATGCCAGATCAGGGCCAATTACATTGCATATCTCTCTCGGAAATTTATCAAGGACCTTCAGAAAGACAGAAGGGGTTCCAGACCATATATGGCAGCAATACTCCATGCAACGACGAATAGTTGATTAGTAGATTTGAAGGATCGACTCCGGCGATAAAAAGTACCTGGCGCGGCACAGGGAGACAACTTTCCTTGCAGTTGACGAAACTATTGACTCAATGTATTCGTTCCATTTCAGGTCAGCAGACAATGTGAGACCGAGCAGTCGCAAACAGGTGCTCTCGTGAAGTTGAGCGTCAGACATTCTAATGGGCGGCAGGGATGGTTCTCTGTGGTGTGTAATAGAGAGCAGTTTTGTTTTTGAGGCGTTAAAGTTAATCAGCCAATTCCTGCCCGAGTTCACAACCGATTGGAGGTCCTTTTCGAGACGCACGGCCTGGTTAGTTTTGTCAGCGACACTAGATTTGTTTTTGAGGCAAGAGTAAATAGTAGTGTCGTCCGCATAGATAACTTACTTGGAATAAAAAAAAACGTCCTCGATTAAAGTGGAATGCCACCGCATTGCGCCGGATAACCGCACAAAGGTGAAGACATTATAACTCCTATTAATCAGACAAACATACATAATTACAAATACATATAACCATCCGATGCCCACTTAGACGTACACAAATCTTCACAGACTTACAGATAGAAATGTCTACAATTTTAATGCACATGATATGTGACTGACCAATAAGAATTGACCCAAACAAAAGTAAAAATATAACAAAGTTCTGTCTTTTTTCTCTTTTCCTCCATCTCTGACGAAACTTTAATAAAACAGAAACTTGTTAGATTTAATACGTTTCCTATTTTTTCTTTATGTGATCTGAATTTGACGCATATACATATATGTACGTGGACACCTCGAGGTGGTGCAATGGTTAGCAAGCTTGTCTCGCTAGAACAATTACAACTGAGTAGTGAGTTCGATCCTCACTGGGTGCACCATACTTTCGGCTTTGTGCCAGATCTGAGTTACGCTTGGAAAATCACCATACATATATGTATATCATGAAAATATATAGGCGTTCACCTATTTCTGTAATATTCTGTACCGTTTCTTAAATGTTCTTTTGAAACTTCTCACGCGTAGACACTTTTTCAAGATATTAAGATAAATGATTTTTTTCTGATTCTCTATGTCTGTCAAACTTTGCCATTGTGTAAGCCGCGACTCTGTTCACATAAGATTCCGTCTCTACAGAGACAAATACACTGCCGACGCACACGGTGCTTTATAGTTTAAATTGGTGACACTGAAGGAATATATTCGCATTTATCTTAATTTCGTTGACTCGATTTTGGCGCGCTCTAGCATTCATACTCCCTGTGTTGGTTTGATCTCTCTCGATTAATATTACTGTTTGTCTGCGATCCTCAGACCACAAAAATTAATGAATAGTAATTAGCTTGTAGCTACCACTTTCTGTCTCCATCTTTCTCTCTCAGCTTCACACTATTCCTCATCAGAGGTTTAACGTCATAATATTTCAACATTGTCGCTAACTATGGATTACATAGATCTTGATCTGGCATCTCGTCTACGGTCACTTTCTCACAGACGTGCTGTGGCTTCCCTCTGTCTTTTCTACAAATATTTTCATGGCAACTGCTCTGACGAGCTACTTTCACTGTTTCCGAAACTGCATAAATTTAAGCATGCTAATAGCTTGGCATATTGGTCCCACCATTTCACTGTCGAAACGGTTAAATCTAACCGCCACTTCTGCTCCAACATCTTCTTATCTCGCACTTCTCGGCAGTGGAACTACCTTCCTCTTACTTGCTTCCCTGATAGCTATAATCTTCAAATATTCAAATGTAATGCCAATCGACATATTCTGATGCATTGATTTTGATTCCCGTCTTTCTCTTTATCCTGTCCTTAAACAGCTTCTTATCTCGCACTTCCCCACAGTGGGACTCCTTCCCTTACTTGCTTCCCTGATAGCTATAATCTTCATATATTAAAATGTAATGTCAATCGGCATCTTTTGATGCCTTGATCATGATCACCGTCCTTCTCTTTAATATTTCCTCAAACAGCTTCTTATCGCGCACTTGCCAGGGCGAGAAGTCCCTTCCCTTTACTTGCTTCCCTGATAGCTATAATAATCAAATATTAAAATGTAATGTCAATCGACATCTTCTGATGCCTTGATCTTGATCGCCGTCCTTCTCTTTATTCTTTCCTCAAACACTCCTCTTTACTCTTGCTCTCACTCTCTGTAACCTCTTGAGTGCTAGTGGCACTCCCGCCTTGCTTGGGATGATATGCTTAAAAAAATGAAATAATAAAATGAAATATGAAAATAGTCTGTTCTCTAGATGTTATCGTGGAACACACCTATTCCTTAGTTAAGAGACTCTCCCACCTATAATAAGTTGGAGTAGTAAGAGTAACTGGGGTCGGTTAATCGCTCAGTCAGTCAGTCGGTCGATGGCGGACGACAGTTAGTCGGATACTAAAGTATCAGCAACCACAACTAGATTACTCTGCGTTATACCTATTATATCAAGTTCCTAACGTTTTGTACGTCGAGCCTATTTTAGGACCGACTTAGTACAAATACAAGCCTCCACTGTAAAATCACTCCACAGCACTAGACCACTCCATTGAGTACCTGACTCTGTTTGCTAATCCCTATCTTTATTGAAGCTGAAAATAGAGTACTTCTGCCATATATGGATATGAGTTAGACAGTCTTCACGTTTTAGTCACGATGGAGTTAAAAAGCGGGTCCGCATCCTCGTGGATGGGGAATTATTTTCCTCCCTTCAACCTGTTTCAGACGAAACATTTTAAACCACTTGCTACTCTATTTCTAAATTACTTCCACCGATTCTAACCTTCCCGGCCTAGGGCCCACCCTGCCACGCCCATTGTAGAGAACCACGTTCGTATCCTATTAATGATATGTATGTTCCACTTGAGCAGATTCTTCCAACGAACTGCTGCATTATGAAACCAATTTCTAAGTCGATGATTCAGCGATCACTATATGTTCGATCTCCGGAAGGAATTAAAAGAAAGCGTGAAGAAAGGACGAAGCACCAATTATAAGAAGACAGATTTTATGGTTATCAGCAAATTGAACAGCCCAAAAGGCGATCTACAAATTCTTTTAATATAATGTTAATATTTATCCTCTCCATATATCCTCATAATCTGTGACACTCTATAGTCGGGAATGGATCTTGGCCATCTTATATGCGCGCATTATTGTAAAAAAATATGCAGAAGACACAAAGTTGATAGCAGACACAGAAAGGGAACTATAGGTTGAACTACAGAAGGTATTAAAGGAAAGCGTGAAGAAAGGACGAAGCACCAATTATAAGAAGACATATTGCATGGTTACCCACTAATTGAACAGCCTAAGAGGCGAACTACAAATTAATAGAAATACAAGAAATTACATATCTGGAAATATTCTTAAATTCATAAAGGTTAGGTGTCATAGCGGAATGTTTTCCAGAACAATCACCATGAAAGTATTTATAGAAAAGCAACAAAGAATCAACCTTCGGGCGATGGGAAAGTGACTGAAGCCGAGATGCTAGATCAGAACTCTTCTTTTTTTTTTTTGGATTATATCAAGAATCTTTAATTATTTAGCAGGAGCATATGTGACAGAATTATTCGTAAGGGCGAATCATAAAATTATAGATATGTAAAATGCTGGAGGGATTTATATTTTAAAATATATATCATTATATTATTGTACATTTCCAAGAGTTATTTTCTTCAAAGTATTTGTTGGATGTCTTTTTTACCATTCCAGGCTTCCTTTTCTTTCTTCCAATTATTATATGCTTTAATTTTTTTTTTCTATTCATTTTCTTTGATTCTTTGATCGTTTATTTATTTGTTTTTTAAAAATATTAGTACTTTAAAATATTTATTTTGAAATATTTATTTATCTACCATTCGTTTATTCCGCTTTCGTTTGCGCTTTATTTTTCATTTATTTGTTTTTGAAATTTCCTTCACTTTTTTCATCATTCCTTTGTTCTTATTTCCTCAGTTTTTCTTCTTTCTCTCTTCACCTTCTATACTTACTTTTGCCTTTCTTTTTCATCTTTCCTTTATTTGTTTTTGTTTCCTTGAGTTTTTTCTTCTTCCTCCCCCTACCTTCTATTGTTTTTTTACCTTTCTTTTTCATCTTTCCTTTTTTGTTTTTCTTTCCTCGGTTTTTTCTTCTTCCCCCTCCCATCTTCCATACTTTCTTTTACCTTTCTTTTTCATCTTTCCTTTTTTGTTTTTCTTTCCTCGGTTTTTTCTTCTTCCCCCTCCCATCTTCTATACTTTCTTTTAGCTTTCTTTTTCATCTTTCCTTTATTTGTTTTTCTTTCCTCGAGTTTTTTTTTCTTTCTCCCCCTACCTTCTATACTTTCCTTTACCTTTCTTTCTTTCTGACTTTCTCTTCGGTTTTTTTCTTCCCAGAATTCTTTGCTTTTTAAAATAATTATTTCATCTTTTCAACATGGCGTCATTATTACTTTTCCTTCCGTTATTCATTAACATTTCCTCGTTTTGCTTTTTTGTCTATCACAGTCAAGCGTTCTATCTTTCTGGCTTTCCTTGCCGTTTTAATTCTCTTGGAATCTCCGTTGCAATATTAATATTTTTAACGAATACTTTCACTACATCGGTTTTTATTCGGCGGTATTGTGGTTGTTGTTGTTGTTGGTGGTGTTTAATCAATTGAAAAGGAAAGTGACAAACCATGAAATGTCTTGGGTGAAAAAGGAAAAAAAATAGGATGGAAATAATACTGAAAAGACGAAACGGCAAGAGATCACGTGGCTTCGCTTGTATCAATCTGTTCAATTCCACTGTAGTGTAAGAAGCCTGTACAATTACAAACATCAGTAAACATGAAAAGGTTCACCCGATTGTTCATGCGTCCGTGCTTCCATAAATTATTTTCAACTCTATTCCTCTTTTGCTCATTATCATTTTTATATGTGCATATACTAACAGGGAAATGAGCGTTGGCACCCCCACATAGATACATGCATACATATGTGTGTGTGTGTGATCCGCAGAGAGATTGTTTCGCTGTATTACGTCTAATCAGTGTGGCTAGACATCCGATTGCCTCAATGCAGGATCGAAATCCAATCGATTTGGCATCAGTTAGAGATTATTGTCCTGAGCTATCAGCTCCGCTGCAAAGAGAAAGGTGAATTTTTATATATTTGTTTCAGAAAAATCACGTCAGTGACTCACGTAATAAGCTGTTGGTATATAATTCAAGTGAATCCTAATAACATATAATAAACTGATGCAAAAAGAGAGATCAAACTATATATTATAAAAGAGCATATAAATCATATGGAATAGAAATTCAGAATTACACCATTCGAATAATTTATTTCGACCTACAAAAACTTAAATGTATGTTTTCTACTCAGTAGAGAAAGAAATAAAATAAAAATTCTTAACTTCTCTGATTTGACAAGAACTACAAGCCTTTGTGGATCGAAATAGCTATTCAAATGAGATAATATTGGATTTCTATTCTACATAAATACAAAAGTAATTTGTAATTTTTTTTTTTTTGAATGTGCAGGCTTGATGAATTGGATCGTATTTACGATTCCAATGGAATAAATTATGACTATGGAATATTAGTGTTTAAGCCTTTTTTATTATATCCTTACTCTGTCCTGGACATTGAGTTCTACCTGGATTCTATCCTCTTGGAATTATTTTTTATACATATATATATATATATGTATGTATGTGTATGTATGTATATATGTATATATATCTATATAGTTTAGATATATGGTTGCATATGTATGTGTATATCAACCAATAATATTATCTATCTATCTATCTATCTATCTATCTATCTATCTATCTATCTATATAAATATATATATATATATATATATATATATATATATATATATATATATAGGTAGACTGACGATTGCGTTTAGCATGAAACAGTCTGACACCTCTGAATGTATGTTGATTTCAATGTTCACTGTTATATTTTTATTTACATACGCTCTATCTCTGGTATTGAACACTTTATCCTATAAATATAGCAAACCTTAAAACTATATATATATATATATATATATATATATATATGTGTGTTTGTGCGTGTCTGTGTGTGTGTGTGTGTCTCTGTCTGTCTGTCTGTGTGTGTGTGTGTGTGTCTGTCTGTCTGTCTGTGTGTGTGTGTCTGTGTGTTATTTCTCCTGTTGGACAAAGTTTTAAAATAATGGGATATTTCAGATTTTTTGAATACGAAGCTTTTTCCTCGCTTATGAAAAAAAATGCCTTTGGTAGAATTTTCCTCATGCATGTCTGTAAAAAACATATGTGATTTTGGTTGATTGAAATGCTAGCTGAAATCATTTTATGCCGGATATATTTGCAAAGAATCCAGGAATTAGGAGGCATAATGCTGGAAGTTGAACTCAACAAAGCTCTGTCAGAGGTAACAAAATTAATACGCCTAGTTCAGACCATACCTGCCGTATCTGCTTCCTGTGAGAGATAGTTTTCTTCATTAAAACGAGTAAATAATTATATGAGATCTTTTCAAAGTGAAGAGAGATTGAGTAATTTGGTTTTCATTGCCTGGAATAATGAGTTTTTGAAGAAGATGAAAGTATAGCGTGGTGCTGAGACATTTTACCGCAAAGTTATCGATGCATTTGCCAGAATAAAACAAAGAATTGAACTAAATTACAAATATATTTTATACATTTTATTATTTGTTTTCTCAGATTTCTCTCTTAACCAAAAACATTCACCATTGTCAGACCCGTCGCCAGGGTATTACTATTGGCTTCACATTAAGTTAAGTGTTGAGGTGAAAAAAGCCTGAAGTATTTGTCGCCAGTTGGTAGAAGTGCATTTTCTCACATTAAGATTACTTAGTTTCCCATGCACAGATGGCGAGAGCGAAAAAAACACACGTGTGAAAGAACAAAGTTCCTCGCTGCTGGCCTGAATCATGGACAGCATGTCCTGTTTTACAAGTCACCTTTCTCTAATGACATATATATATATATAATGATATATATATATATATATATATATATATATATATATATATATATATATAATATATATATATATATATACATATATATATTTATTAAAGACATTTTAAAGAAATGGATCCGTTTTTATTTATTAAAGACATTTTTATGTTTAACGTTCTTTTTTAAAAACAGTAAATTCGACCTTGCTAACCGAACGATCCTTTGTGGCCGAGACGTTAGGCACGTCAGCGTAAATGACGGTTCCGTATAGGATGCAGGTTCGAATCCTGTCAAAGGACGAATATTTTCTATGAAAATTTCTCGGACATTCAGGCCGGTAAACGTTATTTAATAATACTGTTTATTATAAACAGATCATTTACTTAAATACTTGTATTTATAAAAAAGAACGTTAAACATAAAAATGTCTTTAATAAATACATATATATATATATATATACATATGAAAGTTAACATGTAGAAAATGACAATATGGACAAAGGAAAAAGACAGTTGGAAATCTGTAGTGTTAGCGTTTCGTCCAATGCGGATTTTTCAGGGCGAAAACTAAATTGATTTATTGAAAACAAAGTGTATTTATTCTGGACAATACAGAATTGTGCCACAAGGTCAAGAGGGAAATGACGAGTGGAAAGTTTTCATTAGCTATCCTAATCCTAGTTAATCCGACTCAGGACCCATTAATTCATAACAATTTACTCATTAACCATAAGGACTCATCCATTTTCTTTCAATCCTGCATATACAACAATATAACATATTCACAAGGGACCTACACAACACCCCATGACATAAAAAGTTCAAAATTTCATCATTCAGGAAATGATGTGGAGTGGAGATGAAGCCGGAAACAAATTCCATATATAAATAAAAGATAAATGTAAAACAAAACAATGTGAGAACCGTCCATCCCTCAAAATAATAAGAGAGGCTGCTATATTCTGGCGATCGACAGAATGAAGAAGTATTTTCCCCTAATGGAATGGGAAGGATAAAAATAGATGGCGGAAGTGGGGAAATCAAAGCCTGAACAAGTCGAGATGAAAAACTGGGAACAAAATAAATTCGGAGGTTAGGAATCTCAGCATGGGCGAAAACGAAAGAGAATGCCGGGAAACAGGCCAGGCACAACACTTATTCACATTAATTAGGAAAACATAACAGTGTCTAAGTTAACCAGGGAAGGTTTCACAGGAAATCGCCCCGTTGCATCCAAGGAACTTAAAAAAGAAAATGAAGATCTGCCCTGTCCACACGAACCAGGCTCGCCTAAGTCACCCACGTTTTGTAATTTGACGTAATTTTCAGTTGAAAATATGAATACAATAG